GAGATCTACTGTCTGTCCTCACTGTTAACACAGGAGATCTACTGTCTATCCTCACTGTTAACCTGGAGATCTACAGTCTGTCCTCACCGTCAACCCTGGAGATCTACTGTCTGTCCTCACTGTTAACATGGAGATCTACCGTTTGTCCTCACTGTTAACACTGGAGATCTACAGTCTGTCCTCACTGTTAACATGGAGATCTACTGTCTGTCCTCACCGTTAACCTCAGATCTACTTTTAGAAAGTGGTTTCATACAGGCTGGAAAAGTTTTGTTAGATTATATCTGTTACCAAATAATTTCCTGCACCTGATATGATTAGTGACTCTCTGAACAGTCCCAACCTTTGCTTCAGGCAGATTAATAACTCTAGATTTGAACCTAATTGCTTCTATTAACATCAAATAAAAGCAGAATGCATGTCGCCCGCCATTTTTAAAAACGGAGTTTTGATTCAAGACATTATCATGTGAGACGTGCTCAGAGTACGTGTTGAGGATGACTCTCATCTACTACCTCATAAACTTACGTCCTTATCTGTAATTTAATGTTAGAGCCGTTTTTTGGGGGGCGGGGGGTTAAGGTATATTAGCTGTGGCAGCCATCTTGAATTGGGTTGATTTTAAAATTTAAGCAGATGCAGACATCGGTCCATTGTGTACTATTAATTAGTGCCAATGTTTTAAACAAAGATGTAGCACTCAAAGTACATGTTAAGGAGTACTTTCAGCTACTACCACACCAAAATTTGAGATCAATATCTGTACAGTTGACTGAGTTATAATTGTTTCTGTATTTATAAGGTTGCAGACACAAACTGTGGGCAGTTTAAGTGCTCACGCTTCAGAAGAAGAGTCTTTTTTTCGTGGGGCACTTTCGTGGCTCGGTTTAGGAGATGGGTGGACCTGTGCCTGAATAAAAGCCAAATATTCATGGAGGACAGGACAGAGGAAGCCTTTGTGTGCCTCTCTCACCTCCCAGACGCAGCTGACCGCACTTCAAATGGGCTTAAGTGGTTAGAAAGTTGCCCCATACTGCTCGCAGAAAGGACACAGACCCACAGAGAAAGTCCAGAGTTGTGCAGAGATTTGGGGACCAGACGATGTTTGATCTTTCACGGAGCTCGCCATCACTGAGCGAGCTTCGGTGAGGGCTGTTAGCGCTGCCTAATGCGCAGGGAAAGGTCGAAATTAGCACAAAAAATTATCCATCATCTGTGCAGCCTTCTCACCTGAGTGGCGAGGGTGGGGATGATGCTGCGCTCGTTTACACGCTAATGTGTAGGAAGAGAACCAGAGCAGCAGCAGAGGGAAAACTTGGTGGCAGAGTTTTAGAGTAGTACTAGTACACAGGCTGGGTGTATCAGTCAGTAAAACGGTGCAGCCTGATGAGTATTCTGAAAACAGAGACTTTAAATTTAACATCTTGGTGTTTAAGTTTATGTTGTCAAGTACCAGAAAGACTAAAAGAACCACTGAGTGAATTATTGTGTGAACGCTGAGTCAGCATTTTGTGCCATTTTAACTGTTCAAGTATGAAAAGGTTCAGCTCATTATGCTCTTATTCTGCTAACCTGCTATTGTGGTTTTATTGCTTTACAACCGTCAGCTTTTAGCTACTGTTCTGCTGCTTTTAGCTACTGTTGTGCTGCTTTTAGCTACTGTTGTGCTGCTTTTAGCTACTGTTGTGCTGCATTTAGCTACCGTTCTGCTGCATTTAGCTACCGTTCTGCTGCTTTTAGCTTTTAGCTACTGTTCTGCTGCTTTTAGCTACTGTTCTGCTGCTTTTAGCTACCGTTCTGCTGCTTTTAGCTACCGTTCTGCTGCTTTTAGCTACCGTTCTGCTGCTTTTAGCTACCGTTCTGCTGCTTTTAGCTACCGTTCTGCTGCTTTTAGCTACCGTTCTGCTGCTTTTAGCTTTTAGCTACTGTTCTGCTGCTTTTAGCTACCGTTCTGCTTGTTTTAGCTTTTAGCTAGTGTTCAGCTGGTTTTAGCTTTTAGCTAGTGTTCAGACCACTAGCTTAAATCTATTGATTGTATGACTGTTTCAAGGTGTTTTTTTTTTGTATTTGGTTAAATAAATCAGACGGGACATGAATGCACAACTTTTTATGTAAATATTAATTTTTTTCTCCAGTTTTAAGACTTTTATTTACACTCTAGTTCTTCCTTTATAACATAAATGTGTGAACAATCTTACTTTGGAGCAGCTTTTAAAACTACATAAATAAAATAAACCCTGAAATAATTTACGACCAACCAACTGAAGAGAATCTTGATTTAAGACTAAATCTAATATTTACAGTTTTACTGATGATTTCTGCAGCAGTAAAACTTCGGCGCTGCGAGTTGAAGGAGCTGTTTTTGTTGCTCGACGTTCAGGAGCTCAGCGCTGCAGCTGCCCTGGGGGCCAACATCTGGGCTCGGTTTTATTCACACGAGCCTTTGGAGCAGCGTTCTGTGATTTGATCCACATCTTCAGAACCGACGGCGTCGAGTAACAAAACACAGAATATTAAAGCTAAAAATTAAACTAGAGAACAATGTTGCTTCATTTCTGAGCAATGAATGATGTCACAAGCTGAAAAAACTAACAGAAGCAGAACACGAGCTAAAACCTAAAAGTAGCAAAAGGCCATCTAAAAGTTGGATATAACAAAAGTTTAGCGAAGCGTATTACAGGACTAGCTTGAAGCCAAATATAGAAAAGGCTAACTCGACATTAAAAGTAGCAAAAGATCAGCTCAATGTATTAGAAAGGGAGATAAAGGCTAAAAGTGACAAAGGGGAAATCAAAAGCTTAAAGTAGGCAAATACTAGCTAAAATCTAATAGCAAAATAGTAGCTAAAACACTAAAGCCAAAATAAAACAGTAAGAATATGAAAAGGCAAACTAAAGGTTGAAGTATGAAAAGACTAGCTAAATGTATTGAATGGGAGCTAGAGGCTAAAATTTGAAAGTGACAAAAAGGAAATCAAAAGCTTAAAGTAGACAAATGCTAGCTAAAAGCTAAAAATAGCAAAAAACTAGCAAAAAAGCTAAGGCCTATATAAGGCAGTTTAAGCATATGAAAAGGCTAAAGGCTAAAAGTATGAAAAGACTAGCTAAACGTAGCAGCATGGTAGCTAAAAACTAAAAGTAGCAAAAGCTAAAGCTAAAAGCTACAATAGCATAAGAAGACAAAAACACAGCCAGTTTGTTAAAGGTTTCAAAGAGGAAAATGTTTCTGAATGAAACGATCACAACGTGTTGGAAAGTTGAACGTTTTGAAGTCGGAGCAAAGTTTCGATGTAAAAACAACTAAAACAGGACAAAGTCTGCAGAAGCAGTCGGTCTGCGATAAAACAGACAGAAAGTTAAAGACCAGAAAGACAAAAGTCTGAATCCTGTTCTCACATTAAGTTCCCTCTTTCAGGCCACGCCGGTGGTTCTGTCAACAAATCAGATCGTTCTGAGCTCCACAAACCATCAACTCTGGACAACAGAGCTGCAGGCGGGCGATGACAGGAAATGTTTGCAGCAAGAACCCTGAAAGAACCCCAACCCGTCCGCAGCGAGGAGCCCGTTACCTGCACGGGTCGGCTGGGAGGGGTGCTGATGAGCGGGGCCGAGCCCATGGCGGACGCCGCCGTGAGGCTCCGCTCTCTCTCCTCCTGGTAGATGCGGTCGCGCTCGGCCTCCGGAAGCTGCAGGAAGTTCTGCATGGCGCGCAGGTTGACCAGCAGCGACTGGGACGCCGTCTTTGGGTCCTCCTCCTTACGCAGAATCTCAGACAGCAGGCCCTGCGCCAGGAAACCCAACAAAACGAGAACATGAAGCTGAGATTTCTCTTCCTGCGCTGCCGAAGAAACCGATCAAGCTGCAGGGATGTCCGGTGTTATTATTATTATTATTATTATTATTACTTTTGCCAACAGCTTTTTCTGCTTTTCACTTTTGTCCTGCATCTCGTCACGCAGCTCCATCTGGAGCCGCCTGTTCTGACCTTCGGTGGCCGTATGTCGCACCGGACAGACAAAACTAGCCAAAACCCGCAACAGGTAAAATTATAGAACTGGTTTTTGGAGGAAACTCACAAGAAATCCCATCCGTGTTTGGAGCTCGGCAGCTCAGAGCTCGCAGCAGGAACACGGCTCAGAGTTAGAACAGGGCACAGCAAGTTGGACTTTACGAGACTGAACCGGCATCTGAAAATCTTTTACGGCTTTTACACAATTACAGTTTAAGTTCTCATTCTTTACAGACTTCCACAGAATGTTTGAACAACAGCGGATGATGTCGTACCAACTCTTCATGTGCTAGCGTACTGACCGAACAAATTTAATTTGTCTCGTTTTAACATGTTTGACCGAGCTTGTGAAGCTCTTGGTGTGTGTCAGTGTTCTGGTGCAAAGTTTTCAATAAATTTGTAATTCAGTACATTCATGTCTGTTTAAAAAAAATTAATGTTTTAAGTTAATTCAGCACAGGTTTGTAAGCTGAAACATCTAGGTAGACAACAAAAATGGCTAAATCTTGTCATCTGGACCTGTTTCAGAAACGGGTCCAGATGACAAGATTTAGCCATTTTGTTAATTCAGCACTGATTTTCTGTAGCAGATCGGTCGATACTAAACAGTCGGCATCGGAATCGGACCGGAAGCGCTCTAAAAGAGCACAGCATGTCAAGATTTCTGCTCTCTGCCTTGGCTGCTCTCGGCCACGCCCACTTCTCCGAGGCAGAGCGGAGATCAGCTGATCAGCTGCAAGAGGGAGCTCCAGAGCTGTGAGCTGCACAAAGGTGCAGCAGGTGCTAAATAACTTAAAATAATTTATTTTAAATAAAAATGTCATGCCGATCGAGCGGCTCATCCATCAAACAGCCGATTGTGTGTCATGTCCAATCTTATTTTGAAAAACCGGGATAGAACGAGTCTGTGAAAAACGAACCGCGAAGTAGCGAGGGACTGCTGTACATCATATAATTGCTACTGTAGCTCAAACGACAGAACAAACACCTGAACTTCCATAGATTCAAGAATATTTCAGTTCAACACAAAATCCAGCAGAAATGTAAAAACTCGAGGGTTTCTTCTGTAAAAGTCTTCTGTCACTCACAGTTCAAGAATTTTAAAAATCAGACGTAATTTTAGCACAGCGACTGTGCTTGAGGCTTACTTTTTAGTCTGCCTCTCATTAACCTGGCAGTCAGGGAGTGACACTCAGGTGTGTGGTTACCGTGGTGACCACATTGCTTTAACATTTAATCTTTGCTCATTGCAGGCATTTGTTTTTAGTTCAGGTTTTTACGTGTTTGTGGAGCAGCGGCGACAGTAACCTTCAAAAATTTATTTACATTTTCAAACTTCTCGTCTTTTCAGCTGGAAGCAGAAATCTTCTGCCGTCAGACGGTTTAAAGCAACACTTCACTCAGTCTGCGAGGTCTCTGCATGAACGGCGCTCGGCTTAAAGAACTCTGCAGGTTTTTCCTTTAAGCTGCGTTGGATAAAAGTGCAGCTACAACAACTCGTCTTGTTGAGTGGGCAATCAGCGGATCCTCCGTTTACGTTTGAAAAGCGCTCGATTCCATCATTACGAGCGGCGAGGACTCCATTATCAGCCGTGTGTGATTGGGCCTTTTCATCAGCTCTCGGCCACACACTGAGCGAAGCGTGGCTGCGCTCCTCTCACCATCAATAGGTATGATTTGGTCATAAAACAAGGTGATGGAATAACACACTTCTTTTTTTAAAGACGCCTCGGGTTAAAGATTAGAGCTGCTGTCGTCAGACGACTGAAGTCGCCTGTTTTAGATGACTTAAATGCTCTACGCCAGCCCTGACCGTCTATCTTTGGTCAATCTGTTTCCTCACAAAAAACAGCCTTTGTGTCGCAGCGTGACACCCCTCCCCCACCGTTTATTAACACAGGCGGGTGGAAAAGACACAAACCTAATAAATAATCCTCTAAAGGCGCGCTCTCCGGCGGCACGTCGATGCTAATTCCTCATATCAGCCGCAGATAAAACTCTGCCTGTGTGGCGGCTTTCTGATGCGTCCGCCTCTGAAATGTGACACGAGCGTCTTTTTATTTTAGGGTTCTGGGGTCACTGCATGCTCCAGATCAGAGTAGATGCGCAGATGTCCCCATCGCTGAGGGATTTGAACAGTGAGTGTTTGTAGTTTTGGAGACGAGTGTTTTTCTGGATGGGATGGAGGCAAACCTTCATGTTTCTGGTGCAAGATATTCAAGTGGGTGGAAGTTAAAATGAGGAGGAGAGGCAGCGCAAAGTGATGGATCCTGACGAGTGGAGGAAGCAATTTTATTTACCAGCAGGTGCAGTGGAGGAGCCAGGGTGGCCAAGGCCACCATCGTTTAATCTTCGGCCATCTTAACCATTTAAGGAAACTATACTTTTAATCCAAAGATAAGTCAGGTCCTCTGGATGTTTCCAGTTGTTGAAACGTTTCATCTTTTATCCAAAAGACTTCCATCAGTCCGAGGAGCCACAACAAACTCAGTTTTATGAACAGCACCTTACGTGGTGGGTCAACCATCATCTCTTAATGAAATGAGGATAACGAGTTACAACAACAAACAATTTCCCTTTGGGATTAATAAAGTATTTTTGAATTGAACCAGGTTGACGGTGATGAGATGGTTCTGGAGTCCGCCCTCTCCCCCGCTGACTCGTCTGAGGAAGCTAAGGCTAAAGAGGTTCAGGATTTTTTTTTTTTTTAATCAGCATTATTGAGCATGAGTTTTGATATACAGTAGTCCCTCACTACTTCGCGGTTCGTTTATCGCGGACTCGCTATATCGCAGATTTTCAAAAAAAGAGTGAACGTGACACACAATTGGCTGATTGACGGACGAGCCGCACGATCGGCATGGATATTTTATTTAACATACATTTTAGATTATTTAGCACCTGCTGCACATTTGCGCAGCACACACTGCAGGATAAACTTCCTGCTGCAGCTGATCAGCTGTTCAGTGTGCAGAGCAGAGAAGTGGGCGTGGCCAAAAGTGCTTGCAGGTGGCTGAGAGCAGCGGAGGCACAGAGAAGGAAATCGTGACATTCTGTCTCTTTTAGAGCGTTAAAAGTTTAGAAACATTGTTTAGAATAATGCAAGAGTGTGGGAATATATATATATATATATATATATATATATATATATATATATATATA